GAGTTGAACCCTTTGTGTCTCTCTGGCAAGATGTTCTGCTCCTGAATCAGCTGGGTGGGTCTTGCCTCTAGCCTCTTTGCAGGGAGTTCTGTTGAAGGGTTCCGTGTTGGGCCTGCACTCTGGGTCTATTCAGGATCCCGCGGCCTGGGTCATCTCACTCACTCGCCGGGCCTGCGCTCTGGGTCTGTTCAGGATCCGGAGGGCCCCAGTCGTCTCCAAGATGGTTTAATCTTAGCTCTTTCATGAACCGGTAGTTGCTGCAGTCACTCCTGAAGTTGAGGTGACTGGAGTGGCTGAAACCAACACATCATGCTTGCAGCCAACCGGCCCCTTCAGCCTGGCAATATTTCTTCACAAAGTGCTTTTTAATAAGTGTTGGTTCCTAACAACTTAGTGGTTTTAAATGTTAATAAACTTCCCTTGTCTCTGGAACAGTAGTTTATAGAATGTATTTATTCTAAATTTGTGTGGTAACGTCCCATGGTGTGACTGGTATTGTGGGTTTGGAGAACACCATGGAGGAAGGCTTAATTTCATCACATATTTGCTGTCCATGACAGAAGTGAGCTCCCTCCATCCAATGATCTCAGTGGGAAACTCCAAAATGATACAGGGAGAAAAACTGGTCTCGGGTGGGTGACCTCCAAACAACATAGGGAACCTCCAAATGACATAGGGAAAAATGATCTCTGGACCTGACCTGCATGAGTTCGTATTCTCTAAAACTGAAGAATGAATTTTAGGAACAAAAAGAGGTTATGAGCAGAATATATTTATTGAGAGAAAGAGTGCTCCTTTCTGAGAGAGGGACAGGAGGGGGGGGCCCTGAGTGGGTAATTTCCCCTGTGGGTCAGAATTGTAATTGTGCTTGGTCCTTACACAGTTGTGAGGCACATAGAACAGGTGTCAATCTGTGATTCTGCTAGTGAGGAAACAGAAGATCTGGAGCTGTCTATGAGAAATAGCTACTAAGTGTAAGGACCTAATCCAGGATTTTTATTGTAGTTTCGTCAAACCTCTCATCACAAGTGGGAGCGAATTATAGCTTTACATTAACTTAATTTATGTAAATTTTCTAACACAGGACTCAGCAGACAGTGAGGTTCAGTAAACACAGACACCTGTCCACCATTCCTCTTCTCACTGTTATGACTCATTCAGCAGCATCTGCCCACAAGTCCCACAGCAGCAACCTCGAGGAAGCTGGCCTGCTCTGAAGCGGGTCATGCTTGGCTCCGAGTGTACTCTCTTTGAGGCTGTCTTGTTCTCTCAGCTTTGTGGTACTGCTCTATGGAAATGCATTTAACACATTTACAGGGGGTCCACTGAGGGCCCAGGGGCTGTAAGGAAGGATAATAGGATTGATCCTTTCCTTTGAGATAGTCACAGTACAGAAAGCAATTGTTCAAATTGACCACTATTTATTAATCACTTTTTATGTGCCAGTCCTATGCTAGGTCTGGGGAATTTAATAGGGAATAAGAAGAGATCGTTTCTCTAATGGATCTCGTTGGCAGCATGGAGATAAACACACTTTCCAGAGATAAACACTGAGAGCCAGACAGCAGTGGCCTCTAGTGAGTAGCCGCCACTACGACAGTTCACCTTTGTCAAGCCGCTGCAGGCTGCTTAGGAGAAGGAGCTGGTGTGGCGGATATGGCAGGCAGGCCTCTGGGAGCAGAAACATCAGCTGGCTCTGAGGGATGCAGCAGGAACCGGCATCCCGCACGCAAGGCTTGTGAAGGCCTGGGGTTGTATAGCATATGAGGCCTGCCCTACGGAGTGATGTGACTGGGGAGGTGTGGCTACCTCGTGGAGGACTCTTGGAGGGGGCCATTGGGTGGCGGCTTGGAGACCAGGCTCAGGAGCAAGAGGTCCAGGCTTGCATTGGTGCTAGCATAAGGGGCCTCCAGCCCTGTTCCTGAGAGGTCGGCCTTATTGGCCACACTTCCTGCTCATAGGGGCTTGGTGCAGCCCTGGTGTGCTGTAGTTCACACTCAGAACTAGCTGAGGCTGGTCAAGTCACTTCTTCTGATGACTGGCTCCTCCCAGCCATCGCTGCTTGGGGATGGGAGCTACTGCTGGCCCTGGGGAGGGACAGGAGCCTTGACCGTCTGCACAGGGCAGATGTGCTTGAACAGGGTAGAAGAGATCCGGGCCGAACTCCAGGAAGTCATGAGACTTGCTAAAATACCGTGCTGGATTCCTGAAGAAAGCTACAGAATATTTCCGGCTGACCTCCAGAGATTTACCTCAGCTCTCTGCAATGAGGAATTGTTACTGATAAGATGTCCACGTGTTGGTCAGGAGTAGCAAATCTGGTCCTGTCTCCACTTCTGTCTTGCAGCTCCATCTACACCAGAAAACCCCAGAATATTTGTGCTACCAAGTGAAAGACCCTTTAGCAAGAATACAGCTGTGGTAGAGTTCAGGTGGGACAAGCCTAAGCATGAAAATGGCACGCTGGCCAGATTTGAAATTTCCTATCATACATCCAACCAGAGTGATGCAAACAGAACATCTGAAGGGTGGATTGCTGTCAACGTCAGTGGCACGGTGACATCTTTTCAACTCAAGGGCATGAGCCCTGGGTACACTGTTGCCTTTCAGGTATGCACACTGCGACATGGGCATCTTATAGGGCAACAGAGGGGCAGCAAAGGAGGGTGAGGTTCGCGCTTCCACTCTGTCAGTGCTCTGAGGCTCACTGCACTTGCAGGGTCAAGCGGGCAGCAGAGAAACAGGGAAGGAAGGACAGCGGGGGTGAAGGATGTCTTGACAACGCCCTTCATTCAGGCTACTTCTAAGATGTGGAGTAAAGCGGGGTTTGTCAGAGAGATCTCTATAGCCCACTCAACAGAGTTGGGGCTTCACGTTCACTATCTTGTTGGATTTTCATACTGTGAGGAAAACCCCAGGTCCCTGTGTGTGCCAGTCTCTCAGCAGGCTGCAGATGAGGACGTGCCCTGCCACAGGTCCGCTTTGTTCGTCCCTCCTGGCCACAACACCCCGTGGATCATCCGTATGCCCAATTTGGGTCTTCTGACGGAAGTAAAAGCCAGTGTGCATGATTGACATCTCACCTGTTCATCCACAGGACAGAAGGACAGGCGAGCAGTCAAGAAGGAACCTCTGTCGAGACTCCATTTTGATCTTTAAGCTTTCATATAAAATAACATACCACTTATAGCTGAGGGCTTGATAATTTTCCTATTCTCATTAATTACCACACTGCAGACAGTATTTTAAATATTTACAGATATTTTCCATTTGGGGGGGTAAAGTAATGCTTTAGAGATTTGAGTTTCCTATAGATGTGTTTCTATTTTTCTTTTTGTACAATTTTATTTAATAATTGTTTTTATTGGGCCAGGGCAATAGCTCAGTGGCATAAGTGCCTGCCTGGCAAGCACAATATCCTGAATTTGATCCCTGGAACTGCAAAAAAAGAAAAAAGAAAAAAATTGTTTCTATTATCTATTAGGTCTACATATTCTGCTCAAAAAAAGTTGTTCATAAAAGTTAAAAATAATGCACATTCCTATTTGTAATGTTAATGTCTTTTCCTAAGAGTGTCTGTTTATATGGAAGTTCCAGATTTGTGTCACTGTAGACCCATGAGCTGTGACATATGTAGACATATATGATTTCATTTAATGTCGTCCTATGCAGAACTGGGTGTTGTTGGCATGCATAGGCGCCCTTGTAAGTCACACACAAATATTAATATATAGGGTGTCATGAAATGCATTTAGTGCCCAAAGGATAGCACCAGGCATGCAGTGTCCAGCTGAGAAAGCACTGGCGGCTCCGCATTTTGAGGCTACCTGCCAGTATTCTTTGTGGCTTTTATGTATATGTGAGACTGGGGAATGGAAATGATTTATTACATAATAAAAGATATCTAACTTTTTTGGAGAAAACTTTTCTGTTAGGATGTTACATGTGCAGCGAAAGTAAAGCGCATACAGCTCAGACAACGTGTTTCTGGGGTTCCACTCCAGGCAAGTTCCTCCTTCTAAGTATGACTCTGGTCCAGCTGCTTCTACCGTAGTTAGTAGCTGTGGGGCTCCGAAGTGGTAATGCGTGGGAAAATAGTTTGACATGCAATAATTTTTGAATGTAAAGTTTACTATTTTCTTTTTATAAATATCTTTTAAAGTATAACAAATTTAGTTATTTGAAGCTTTTAGTTGTTAAAGGTAAGTGGAAATCTACCATAATGTTTAGTTTTATTTCTTTCAAGTATTCGATGTAATTTTAACTTATTGATTTTTAAACTATTTGACAAACACGTGTTGCATATGACTGAGGTATGGAGAGTAACCATTTGATATGTGTGTACAGTGTGTAAGAGTTACCGCCGTCAGAGCACCCAACCACCCGTCACCACCTGGTTCCCACATTAAATTCCCAGATATTTTTTTTTTTTTTTTTTTTTTTTTTGGCAGAACCGGGGATTGAACTCAGGCCCTTGTGCTTGCCAGGGAAGCGCTTATTCTACTGAGCCATCTCCCCAGCCCATAAGGAATTTTTTTTTTGCTCCTTGAATGCCTTCAGGGCACTTTTGCATGGCTGGAGTGTTGTGGGGATCGAACTACAGCAAACTGAGGCTGCCAGCATTGTGGAAGCAGCCACTTAAAGAACTGAGCTAGGGCTGGGCCCCCCAGATATTTCTAGAGATTGTTTTTTGTTACTCCATAAAGATCCGTGCCACACCAGCATTGTCTAGACCAAAAGCCCCAACAGCTTTCGTGTGGGACCGCGTTTTGCACTTATTTATTGCTATTCTTAGTGAACAATATTTGACGCTATTAATAACGTATATCAGGCATGTGAGACAAGATACGCAGTAATCTCTTAGTCTTAGACCTTATTGCCCTGGGAATACTAATTAACGCCTCTTCTGTATCTGTTGTTTCTTTTGCTTTGCTGTAGGTTCGAGTCTACACATCCAAAGGCCCAGGGCCATTTTCTGACATAGTGAAGGCTAACACATCAGGTATTTGTTATCTAAAATCTGTTCAAGTAAATACTTAAAAGCATCTTTGCAGTGCATCTTTAGGGATTCTAATTTCATCTCTGACCTGAAGTTAAGGTCACATTTTAAAAATCGTTTTTTCTCATCACCAAAATATGTTAGTGAACCTGGGATGAGAAGGCCAAAGGGCTTCGTAGGGGCCAAGAGCGCTGGACCCTGATATGCCCATGAATTTCAGAACCACTTGACATTGACTCGAGAGACTTTGCCTGCCTGGAGCTAGCTTACTCATGCGTGTTACTTGGTTTTCATTTTCAGAAATCAACCCATGTCCTTACCTCATGTCTTTCCTTTGCAATGAGCTAGTGCTTTTCGATGTGGACCAAAATCAGGTTGTGTGGACATTTTTGGCAGAGGGAGACATCGGCGCCCTGGGCTATACTGCTGATGACAACATAGGGTACTTTTCTCAAGGGGACTCCCTTTTCCTTCTAAATTTGAGCAACCATTCTGGCTCCAAGGTACTTCAACTTTGTGATTATTGTTTTTTAAATGTATTTTAGTACAGGAACTACAGGGTCTCACTGCACAGATCGGACTGGTAGTGATCCTCCTGTTTTCAGCCTCCTGAGTGCTGGGATTACAGGCACACACCACCACGCCCACTTGCAATCACTGTCTCAGTGCACCCCAGGGATGGGGCTGGCATGGCATGCCTGGGATCAAACTCTGGTCCCTGTGCTGCCTAAGCAGGCATTTTAATCTGCTGAGCTGTCTGGCCAGCCTCTTTGTGATTCTGTTTAATGTGCAAAGTGGAACTTTGATGTGTCCTCTGGCCCTATAATTAATATGCCGGGGTGAGCCATGTTATTGGAATGATTCAAAAGGATGGGTGCTGTACAGTTATTTATATACAAATAAACACAGAATAGAATTTGGGCGAGTTCTTTCAAGATTAACTTGGAGGAGTTATTGGCAGTGTGTGTTAGAATGGAGAGATATGGAGGTGTGTGAGCTTTTTGTTACTGGAGCAAATACTGAGTTAACTTATAAAGATAAAAATTTACTCTGACTTGCAACTCTAAAGGCTCCAGAAATAGTTGTTTGCCTTATTGTTTAGGGGTCTGTCGCGAGGCAGCTATCACTTCTGGGAGTACATGGTAGTGAGATCCATTTCCTTGTGGGCAAGAAGAAGAAGCAAACATAGGCATCTGTTGCTCTCACTGTAATTGGTGCTCCCTGGGGAGAAACGGTGGCAGGAATGAGAAAGACACAAACAGACAAAAGCTAGGCTAGGCAGTTGCTGGTCTGTCTGATGGGCAAGACTAACCTAACTCAACGCACAGCAAAACAATCCTTTATACTTTTGCCAATTTTGCAACACATGACACAAGGTGGTCTTGTGACTAATAGCTGACCTTAACCAGACAGGTTGTTTATCTCAGGCGTGAGGTAGCTTGTTTGCTTTCGGCGCTGAGGCCCAGTCCCAGCTACACACGTTCGACCAATTTCGTAGCTTCCTGCAGCTCCCAACATATCCCCCTTTCTTGTGTTGTTTTGTCAGAGATGGGTGTTCCATTGCAGTTAGAGAAGCCATGTTGGGAGAAGTCTTTAAAGGACTTCTTTATACTTGATGCCAGTCCACAGATTGTAGGCACTCAAATTCAAGAATGTGACCATGGCTCCCGCCCTGTTGGGAGGGCACAGCTGATGGGCTGAACACCACCTCCTAGTCCTACTTCCTAACGACTTGCCACTTCCCAGCGATACAACTGGCTGGAGCTAAACTGCAGGGTGGGTCTTGGGAAGATACCCCAGACCCAAACAGTAGCAAAAGTGAAACACTCTAGTCCTGACTCTTACAAAGTGAGTCTGGAAAGGCAGGAAGGTGCTTTGGAACGTGTAATCTGCAATTTATTCCAGGCCTATCACTTACTAGATCTGTGACCACCTTCAAGTTACTTAACCTCTGTGGCCAAGTAGGCCCTCCTCCTGGGTTCCTGTGAAGGTCAAGTGAGATAGACTGTGAAAGCCAATGCCTGGCGTAGGACGGGCACCCAGTTCATTGCAGCTGTTACGGCGGAGGGCCAACCAGTACAGCTGTCAGGCTACAGCAGGGTGTGGGGAATCTCAGGGAATGAACGTGCACCAGCCCAGATGAGTGGTGATAGCAGCAGAATGGAAAACATCTTGGTCTCAAAGAAGACAAACCAGATGAGGTTGGTGACAGGCAGAGACAGGAGCAAGGCAAAGGCAGAGGAACTAGGGCTGGAGCTCCTCAGGGGCTGTGACTACAGGGAAGCTGGCGGGAAGTGCAGGTGAAGGAGGCACGAGAAGCAGCAGCAGGAAGTCTGGGCCCAAGCGGGGGACCTCCTTCATCTGCCAGCATGTCAGAAGCCAACGGCAAGCCACTGAGGGCGTTCCATGGGGCCTTAATGTGGTCACATCGCACTGTGGAAAAACCTCAGTGTCAGCAGTGTGAGTGATGACTTAGGACTGTGTCTGAGATCATCAGGAGGCTAATAAAGAGTCAGTAAGACCTGTTAAGGTGGGAGATGGGCAAAGAGGTGACAAGAAAGGGGACAAACTTGGGGTGCTGCTCAAAGTGAGAGCAGCTCTGTAGCTACAGTGCCAAGAGGGAGACACCACGGGGGGACACCTTGGTCAGGTGAGTGGGTTGCCATAAAGACAGCATGTGGGAGACAAGGTGCTGGGCTAGGGTGATGGGTCATCATACGGAGGTTTGCCGTGGCCGTGCGCACGCAAGGCAAGAGCTCTGTCACTGAGCTGCATCCCCTGGCAACCCTGTGAGGGATCCCATATGAAGATGGGGGTCTTTAGCACTGGCCCATGAATTATTCATAAGCATAGGAGTTAAAATTACCTAGAAGTGTATACAGTGTGAGAAGAGGGCTCATGTCATAATAGTACACAACCCAGGAATATTGGGGCTTTGGATTACAAAGAAGTACAATAAATAAATGATATAATAATCACAAAAGCCTTCAAATTAAAAGGCTAACCCTGTTTTCCTGGCCATGTTCTCCACCGAATGCTAAGCTTCTCCAAGACGCACGCATTTCCGGCATCACACTCCTCACGGTCGACTGGATTTCAAGGCACCTCTACTTTGTGCTAAAAGAATCGCAAAATGGAACTCAAATATTTGATGTTGATCTTGAACACAAGGTGAAACACCCCAGTGAGCTAAAGATATGTAACAGGAATTCAACAATCGTTTCATTTTCTGTATATCCTCTTTTAAGGTGCGTAATGTATCTGTTATGAACTAGACATAGGTATAGTTAACGTAGTATTTTTGGTTTAACTTTAGAAGCCAAGGGTGGGAAAGTAAGAAGCTTAGCCTTTTGGGCTTATGCTATGGACTTATGGTAAGCAATTCTGCTTATAAATTATAAGCTCACAAGTACAAATGTGAAATCTTAATCCAGACTTCTGTGATCTCCGCTATTTCTGAAGAAGGTTACTTGAGACTTGGACATGTTCTTTCCTAAGGATGTATCTGTATCCTAATTTCAGTTATTGATCTTCTTTAGAAACTAATATTTGAGATAATCTATTTTTCCCATTAAGCTAGAGGAACTGTTTTTCCTTCTATAGTCGCTTATACTGGACAGAAGTTTCCAGTTTGGGCTGTCAGATGTTCTACTACAGTGTTGCTCACCGCACCTTGCATCGCATCCTGCAACCCCCAGCTACAGACCGACCAAATGGAAGAGCGCAGTGTTTCTGCAGTGTGACTGAATTTGATTTAAGTGGAGCAATGGCGATTGATACTTGTGAGCTAGAGAAGCCATGGATATACTTTAGCAAAAGAGGCGAGATCTGGGCCACGGATCTGGATGGGTGCCAGTGTTGGAGAGTTCTCAGGGTGCCTGCCGTGCATGGTAAGACATCTGTGTGCATGTAGATGTTTGTGCGTAACAAACAGCCTGTCTTGTCCTGTTACCAGGAGCTTGCTGTCCACATATATTTAAAACAACATGCTCATGGGATTTGCTCTGGACCACGCCCAGGGCTCGGTAGAATTCAAAGCAGATTGTTTCCAGTGAGTTATACGTGGACATTCATTCCCCACATCTGTCTTTAAAACTTGATAATTGACAGTTGGGCCACAATTTTATAAATTTACTCTGTACTCTAAGCGTGCCGCTCACTACATTATCTCAAAATACCTCAGCGAGGTAGGTGTTTGTATCCTCACTTTATAGATACGAAAACTTACAATGGCTAGTATATCCATGGTAGTAACTCGTTCAAAATGCCTCGGTTAGTTGAGTTGGAACTAACGCTAACTAGACATTTGTGATCTGACCAGTAGACTGCTTTATTTTCGCTTCAGTGACCCTTGCAGCATGAATTGGTCAATATGTGGAAAGTCTGCTCTTGAAATTTATATACTTGTGGAAGAAGTGCTTGCAAGTCTTAAATGACTTGAGAGACTCCTACTTAGGGGCGATTCCAACAGAAAAACCAAACCAGACCTCTGCATGCCTCATACATACTCCAGCAGTCTACATGTCCCTGTGCAGTATGGCAGTCACCAGTCGTCACATGATATAAATTTAAATAACTAAAATTAAATAACATTGAACATTTATTCCGTCAGTCTCGCTCGTCACTCAAAAGCCACAGAGGCTTCATGGGCGTCGTTAGCACAGCACTGAGGATGCTGCTCCACCCTTACCTCTCAGCAGTTCTGTGTCCGCACCCTCAGGCTCTTGGCCTGTCCCTGGCGGGAAGCTTTGGGCTGGTTGAGCGAGAATCGCGCATCCTTAGTGGATTCCTGCCCGCTCACTCCACTGCGCTCAGTCTGTCACTCCCAGCCGCCTCTGTTGTACTGTGGCTTCCCTCTTCCCGTCACCACGTTGCTGGTCTCCACCCACAGTCTTATTGCAGTTGTTTAACAAGTGTCAGAATGTTTTCAAAAACATTTGCTGTACAAGAATTTCTAGTGAGCCTTTATTCTATAGGTCTGGAACTGGTCAGTGTTTGATCAATATGTAATTGAGACCCATAACCCTAAAATTAGAAAATCAGAGTGATGTCAGAGATCATTTAGTTCTTATAATGTTGAAAGAAATCCCCTCGCTTGTTTATTAAGAGGCTGTCACTACATTATAAAGAAGTCTGTATAATTTTTTTCATAATTCTTAGTAGCAGATATTTTTCATATATATATTAATGTATTTAGTACAGGGTCTCACTACACAGATTGGACTTGTAGTGATCCTTTCTGTTTTTCAGCCTCCCGAGTGCTGGGATTACAGGTCCATACCACCACACCAAGTCTCATTCCCGTCTCAGTCCCCCCAGAGCGTGGCCGGCACAGCACACCAGGGAGTGAACCGCAGTCCCTGCATCTGCCTAAGCAGGCGCTTTAATCTTCTGAGACATCTGGCTGGCCCGTATTTTTCTTATATTTAAATGAAGCTTTCTCTCCATTCCTCTCAGCCATCGTGCTTATTTCTGACTTCTGAGTTAATAAAGCAGAGGTTAATCATTTTCCATGACAGCCATTCAGTCATGACCAGGTGGCTGCTGTCCCACTTCCAAGCATTTTGGAGGAAACCTCCAAGTTGTGTATACCTACCTCTCAGGGGATGTGTCTTCTGGACTTTTCTTTGAATTAGTCGCCTCTGTTCCACTCTCCCTGGCTAACCTCCTCTGCAGTGCTGGTGCTGGCCTGGGTGTTGTGGCCGGTGCAAGGCGGTGGCTGCTTCCTGTGTCTCTTCATTGTGGCTCAAAGTAGCAACAGACCTTTGGGGCCCCTGTCAACAGAAACGTCCATAGTCCTCCTTCACATGGGATATTATTAAGCCAAATAGATTTTGCTTATTAATTGGTACAGTTAATTTAAGCCTTTGTTTAGGATTTTATGCTTATTTCTATTAAATTTCAATCCATTTCCTCATTCTGTTGTGACGTGTTTAAATTGCAAGGCTATCACTGACCTGCTTGTGATGGTGATAATCATATTGTCTACAAGCAAGATAAATGTGTTTATTCATTCATTCCCAGCTACTGATAAAAATATTGAGCAAGGCCCTGAGCCCTTCCCAGCCATCCAGTGCTGTGGGCTGGCGTTATCTGCTTCGGGGTTGTGCAGTCTGGGTTTTAAGTCCTGGCTCTGCCCTTTGCTAACTTTGTGGCCTGTAGCACGTTGTTTACTCCTCCCGGCTGAGTTCAGGAGGCTGATAATGAGAGCATTTCCCTTGTTGGCTTGACCTGGAAATAGAATGAGAAAAACCCCTTGCTAAAGGCGTCACGTAAACTATTACTCCATGCTGAATTAATAGAAAGGTTCAAAATTCGGCATTTATAGAGGATTTCATATGTTGGTGAGAATAAAAATTAGAGATGTATAATTTAGTCTTTATCCGTATTGTTTATGTTTTCATTTTAAAGAGAAAAACAAAAGCGATACAGATATTTAAATCAAGATAGAAATTTAACAATAGTTATTATGTTGCATATTGGGTCTTTTTTTTTATTTTAGGGAAGGATTCTACAGGGTGTTCAGGGTCTCACTACTAGATCGGGCTCATAGTGATCCGCCTGTTTACAGCTTCCCAAGAGCTGGGATTACAGGCACATACCACCTCGCCCAGTCTCAATCACTGTCTCAGTGTGTCCCAGGGGCAGGGCCGGCACAGCAGGCCTGGGGATCAAACCCCTGGCCCCTGAGCCTGCTTGCAGGTGCTTTAATCCACTGAGCTATTTGGCCGGCCCTGCATATTGTTAAAGTAAAATAGTTGCTCAAATTACAAGGTATAGACATGTAAAATTATGTTTTTAATCAGCAGGAAAAGTACTTGTTAGCCTAACTGTGGATAAAGAGTTTATATATTGGATCATCACAGCGAAAGACAACACAGAGATTTATCGAGCCAAGAAGAGGGACGGGGCCAGTGTTTCCCAGGTGACGACCCTGAGGAGTCAGCGCATCTTGGCGTACGGTTCCGCCGTGCAGCCTTTCCCAGGTACATGGGTTGCCCTGGCCCGCTGGTCTCCTGCTCCACAGCTGGCCTCAGCCCCACTGTAAAGGCTTCTCCCTGCCCTGCACCCAGCGCTGTGCAGGCTACTGTGGTCGCTGCCTGTCTGGGGCTGCAGGTACGCGTGGCTTGCGCCTGGCTGGCTACGTGCACAGCTCGGGACACAAGACTCTGGCGCTGGCATTCTCTGCCCCACCTCTTCTCTCCTCAGCCCCATAATTTCTCTTCTGTGTTATATCTCCTTTTTTGATATTTTGGGCCCCCCGGTGGTACCAAAAAGCATCGCATAAATCCTCCAGTCCTTTTCAAGGTAAACTGCTGTATTCACTGCAGTATAATGCAGCATGTATTAGGTAGTGTGGTATGCTGAAGGCATATGTTAGGCGAGTATTACCTTACCATTACCCTGTGCCGTCTAACATGTCCTGCCCCTTCTCCTAAGTTCCTGACTTAGTGCCACTGATAGTTTAGTGTTGCATCCCTACTCCTAAGCACTCCTTGAGCTTTACGAATTTTATAGCATATAATGTATGTTCCTGTGGTATAGCACAATGATTTATAGAATTGTGTGGATCACATTATATCAGGACTATTACTGGCTATCTTTGAGGGTCATAACAAAAATTTTTGGCAAGTCTATAAACCAACCAAGAAAACATACCAAAATCAGAATTGTGTTTTCTTGTTGATAGCATTCAAACCTAAAACAGTTTTTGACTCTTATCAAGTTTTCTCTGTCATTAGCTTAAAATATTATTTTAAATTAAGCACAGCTTACTCTGAGATAGGGACAGAAATAAACCAACTTTTTTGCTTCAATATATTCAGTTATAAAATATGTAAATCTGCATCAGGTAAGAGTTTATAAATAGGCCTTGCTCATGTTTTATACATAAATTACTTTTCACTTTGAGAAATTGGAGAGATTTTAAGTGTTTGTGGCTTCTAGTTTTTGGTCCAGCATGTAGGAAATTCAAAAATTCACCACTGGGCCCAACAAGTAAAAATCTGAGCAAACAGAACTCATTTCTTCCCAGATCCATGAGCACAGCGAGGTTACCAGGCAAACCACTTTCTCTAAATTAAGAAAAGGTGAGTGGCGACGTATTTGCAATTCATGGGGATACAGCTCCACAAGCACATGGCTTTGCGGAGCCAGTGTGGGCGCAGGGAAGCCCGAGTGGTGACCAATGAATCACTGAATCGCTAGGCTCGTCATGGACAGTGCTGAAAGCTGAAGAGTCCGGAAGGCCCCGGTCATACAGGGACTGTACTTGTGACCAGGAGCCGACTTCTTACAGTGAATATCCAATTCTCATAATGACTATCTTAAAACCTTGTGTTTCCACCAGTCGGAGAAGGAAAGGAGCACTGTCAAGGCACCTGAGACCATTCTGTTCCTAATACTGACTGCCTTCCTGAGACGCAGTCGCAGCCCAACATCTGCATGTATCAGGTCTAATTTCAGCTCTGAACCCAGAGGCACAGACTCCCAAGAAGTTGGAAACCTGGAACTACAGACCACTCCCCTCCTTCTCAGCTTGCTATTGTATAATAAAGATTCACCTACAGTAGTTTCTTTTATCTAGTAATTATGTCCCATTTTCAAGAGAAAATTACCAGGCGCAATGAGAGCCATAAAACAGATGGAAGACACAAGGCAAGCGCAAGACTCAGGCTGGGGCGAGGGTGTTGGTGTCATCAGACTTGGAGTTGGAAACAGCAACAGTGAATATTCTACTGGTTTAATAGTCATCAATATGTAAGAACAGATGACCAACATAAACAGAGAAATTTCACGGATGAGACAAAGTGAAAAGAAGTACCAGAGATAAGACACTGGAGCAGAGTGACAAGTGGCTTTGTAGAGCTGCTCAGTAAAGAGCCTGTTGAGGAGAGAGTCTCCGAGCTGGAGGACATCTCAACGGAAACACCTAAAACAGGAAAAGAGAGAGAAAAAGATGACCAAAGAAATGAATAGGACACAGTGTGCAAGTATTTTGGGACAGCTACGCAGATCTAGCACATGACACATGAATGCCAGGAGGAGAGGAAAGAAAAAGGAACAGAAGAAATATAGTAATGACTAAGAACTCCAAATTTGTATCAGGAAAGTTCTAGCTAAAACAAGTTCAGAGAATGCCAAGCAGAATAGTGCAAATCAGGGCTTTTGGGGGGTAAAGACTTGTGGATGCAGGTCCCTGACTCTAGTGAATCTGCCTCTCTGGGGGTGCTGATGTTAGGGGACACCATGCGTGTGTGGGGACGCATGTGTGGGGCATCGCTGTGGCTCCCCTTCCATTTTACTGGAGATCCAAAACTGTATTATAAATGACATCTGTATTTTTAAGAAATGCCACATGGGTGTGCATTCATACGCACATTTAAAAATCTTGAAGTTTTTATAACTAACTCATGAGAAATATTATTAATATAATGCTGTCATTATTTTCTTTGAAAAAGGTGTCAACTTTATTTTACAACTTTCAAGGTACATTGCCAAGGAGAGGACTTTACCTCCACCTGCTGGAAACTTCAAGAATTGCCTATTATATTCCCTTTTCTCCCAAGCTGCTTTACATCTTCAAAATGTGCAAGTATGGAAACCCTCCTGCCCTGAATGATATTTCTGGTACTTCAATGTATCCTCTTATCTGTTAAATAAAATAAAACGACGAGAAGGCAACAGTCATCTCTGAACTGGGCTACTTCTGTTATGTTATCAGGTTATGAAGGCTCTCTTCTCACTGTAGACCAGAAGTCTGCACAGACTTTACTGTCATATAAATATTACTGGAGTCTTCGCCCAAGAGACTTCACACTCTGGTAGTCGAGAAAGCTCCAAAGATAAAACTGAGTCCAGACCAACGTGGCCAGGGCTGTGGGGAAGCCCCAGGGCATGGTGGGAACGGGCGGGCCTGCTGGAACCTGCGTGATGTGGCTGTGTGGCCTGAGCCCGCGGGGTCGCTCTGAGTGAGGCCAGTCAGTGGAGCGGGCACGGTTTGCAGGCGGTGAGGTGTGATTCGAGTACAGAGGTTTGCCCGTCCTGCGGGCAGGCAGGTGCCCATGCGTCCTGCAGCCTCTGGGAGTTGTGACCTCAGGTGCAGGGTGCAGCGTGTTGGCTGTGTGCTGCGGCCAGGCAGCTCCACTGTGCTGCCAAGCACCTCTTCTTCTATTCCTGCCTGGGCTTCCAAGAATGTCTACCAGTCACTTTCTACAGAGTGACTGATGAGCCTGTAGGCTTTGCATGAGCACCCCGGCAGGGGGCGAGCAGAAGGCCAGGCTGTGGGGGAGCCTGCTTCCCTCCGCGCAGCAAGACCCAGCTCTGAAAGGTCTGGGCCAGAAATACTCCCTCCCCTCTGAGGGCTCACTGTCTCCTGGTTGTCCTAGGTGCAGGCATGCGTGAGCTTGAGGAGGAGGGTGGGTGCTGGGCGGCTTCTCACAGCAGCTGCTGCCCACAGCAGCCAAGTGCAGCCATTGCTGTGTAGCTGTGAGGAACATTGTTTCAAAAGCATTTTCATGTTTGCTTTTTCAAGCAAAAATTACGTGTTCTACGATTTTTTTCTAACTTTCGATATTACCCTTGATGTTAAATTGTTCCTCTCATACGAATATTGATCTTCATTTTCCTCTAATTTTAGATAAGGACTTTCTGCTTCTAGCTTCAGATACTGCAGAACCAGCTATACTTGGTGCCACCAACACTAGCCTCGCAGTTGCTTTGCCTCCGGCCAGGACGATCCGCATGTGGAAGGGCCTCACCGGCCCAACTGCAACATACTTGGTTTATTATGCAGAACTTGATGGCAGGACAAACAGCTCTTACCTGAAATATAAAATACTGGTGAGACTGAGCTAGGGATTGTGGGGTTTTTCACAGGACACTGTCAGCCACAGAGAGGTCTTGCTATTTGTTCGGAAGTGTGCGGCTGTGCAGGGTGTCCCGGGCTGGCTCATCCGCTGCCGTGTGCCCGGCTGGCTTCTTGTCTGGGAGTTGGTTATGCTGAGGGTGTGCGTGAGCTCTGGCCAGTTGATGGGTCACCATGATCAGGTTCTGCATGTCCTGAAGTGACCGGTTGCCTAGAGAGGTTTTCAGGCTTCTTTTCACAGCCTATCCAGCAGGTTAAGGGCTGAGGAGTAAGAAACGTGTTGGGCAGAAAGGGTATTGGCAGCTGTTGGCTCTTCATGGCGTTTATCTGATGTAGTCAGTGCAAATCGTTTTGCCTGTCTTTCATACACAGCTGCGCAGGGGCTGCATCTTTGCAAGAATCCCGAGCGTACGCCCAGTGGGGTGTGGTGGTTGGCTCTGCACTGGCATTCACCAGATGCCTCTCGAGTGAATGAATGGGCTGCTGCCACCCACTCCAGTGGCGGCATTTGTGCTCTGGGTAGCGAGGCGGCCAGACAGCAGTACTGTGCACTGTGCTGGGCTTTATCTTACCAACTCGGAAAGTGAAGCGACCAGCGTCGGTTGCGCGCTGTGTACTATATGCTTCGTCTTTCGGTGCACACGACTCTTCGCTTACAACCTCATGGATGGTTCTAATTCAGAGTTGAAGATACTGGTCTACGGATCATCCTTTCTACTCTCTTAAACATAGTTTTAAGAATAACTAGATAATAGTGCTTAATCTTGTACTCACTATGTGTCGCAACCTCATAATGTCATCTTGCTGAATTTCCAGTGTAAGGCCTCTAGTGTAAGCGCCCTCTCCAGGAATTTAGCCTTATGCGTGAAGTGATGTTTGCAAAATTGACTGAGGACTGTCAGTCACTTGATATTTATTCATGGCAACATTTGACAATTCAGGTCTGGGTAGATTAAGGCAGTGCTATCATTATTAACAACCGACTTAGAATTAAAAATAAATTAAATTTTTGAGGTTTTATTTTTTTTCTCTTTGGCTAGATAATTTCTTTCTTTCTTTTTTTTTTTTTTTGTTCCTCGAATGCATTCAGGGCACTTTTGGCCAGTGGGCGGGTTGTGAGGTTCGAACTCCAGCAACCTGAGGCTGACAGCTTTGTGGAAGCAGCCACTTAAAGGCCTGAGCTAGGGCCAGGCCCCCTGGCTAGATAATTTCTATACACTTGTATAAGATGTAAAAATAAGCTCCTGACTTTAAAAAATTAATTACAGGAATCTCAGGAGAAGATAGCTCTCATTGAAGGTTTAAAGCCATTTTCAACATACATAATAAAAATGGCTATAAAGAATTATTATTCAGACACTCGGGAACATTCGCCTCTGGGACGAGCCATCTGGGGAAAGACGACAAGTGGCGGTGAGTGATGGGCTTGCTGGGGCTCGGAGGAGGGCTCCGCGGGAGTGCTGCGTGTGTGTGTGCTCCTCACTGCCAGCTGATCAGCAGTGTGTGAGGTTTGAGGTTTGATAAGTAAGATGGGTGTGTGGGAAAATATTTGGAACTTGACCCTTGCTCCGACTATGAGGGGAAAGCGGCTCTGGCAGGTCACACATCAGAAGTGGGTTGACAGGGAAACATGTCGCAGCACTGCCGCATGGTGTCGCCCTCTCTTCATGTACCGCTGGTCTCCCGGGGACAAAGCCCGGGCTCTCCTCCCGTCTACTGCTCTGAGCCAATGAATGTGGCTGTTTCAAGAAAATAGCTCTGCCCAGGATTGCCCTGCTATTCTAGGTCTTTTCTGGTTGCAACTACATTTTAGGAACGATTTCGCTAGGTCTGGGAGGTATGATGGTGGTAGTCTGATAGGGACTGCATTAAATCTGTACAGCAATTTTGGGAGTATGGCCATCTTCACAATGTTGGTTCTTCCTATCCAGGAGCATGGGATATCTTTCCATTTTCTGAAATCCTCTAGGATCTCTTTTTTCAGAGTACTGTAATTTTCCTTGAAAGGATCTTTGACTTCTTTAGTTAGGTTAATTCCAAGGTATTTCATTTTCCTCGGTGCTATTGTAAAAGGTATTGTTTGTATAATTTCCCTCTCAGTGTGTTTGTTGTATGTGTAGAGGAGTGCTATTGACTTTATAACCTGCTATGCTACTGAATTTCTGTATTAATTCTAGTAGCTTCTTGGTGGAGTTTTTTTTGGTCTTCCAAGTAAAGTATCATGTCATCTACAAATAATGATAATTTAACTTCTTCTTTACCTATTCTTATTCCTTTTATTTCTTTCTCTTGTCTATTGGCTGTAGCTAATGATTCCAGAACTATATTGAATAGGAGGGGTGATAGAGGACATCCTTGTCTTGTACCACATCTGAGAGTAAAGGATTTCAGTTTTTCCCCATTTAGAATTATGTTAATTATTGATTTTTCATAAATGGCTTTTACCAGATTGAAGTAGAGGTCATCTGTTCCAATTTTCTGTAGGACTTTGAACATGAATGAGTGTTGGACTTTGTCAAAAGCCCTTTCTGCATCCATTGAGATGATCATGTGGTTTTTAGTTTTTGCTCTATTGATATAGTATATTACATTTATAGATTTTCAAATATTGAACCATCCTTGCATCCCTGAGATGAATCCTGCCTGGTCATGGTATATGATATTCTTGATGATTTGCTGTATTCTATTTGCTAGGATTTTATTGAGAATTTTTGCATCTGTGTTCATGAGGGAGATTGGCCTGTAGTTCTCTTTTTTAGTTTCATCTTTCCCTGGTTTTAGTATCAGTATAATACTTACCTCCAGGAATGATTTTGGGAGGATTTCTTCCTTTTCAATGTCATTGAAGAGTTTGAGTTAGGGACTACAACTTCTGTTAATTTGTTGTAGAATTCAGCTGTGAATGAATCCGGACCTGGACTTTTCTTTGTCGGTAGGTTTGTTAGAGAAAAAGGAGGGCCACAAGGAAAGCCAACATTTTGGGCCGTAGCCTTCCAAGGTCAATTAAGACTCAGGACAATGAGAACTTGTACTGTACCATCATGTAACTCAGCTGTGTCCCAAATTCTCTGATCAAGGAGATTATGGGGCCAAAGAGGAAAGTGATCGATGATGTAGAGTGTGCCTAAGGAGAGTCATATGGAGAGAAAATGTTCTCTCAGGCTTTCACAGAGAGCACATTGGCCAGGCAATGGCTGTGACTCATCCACATGACTGACACTGCAAAATATCTACAATCTGAGGTACAGATTGGTCTCAGGATAATCTTTAGGGGATTTGACTGACCTTATGAGATCCAAAAGCTACAATTCTTGTTATATAGGTCTTGCTTTATCTTAGTCTTAACCATCCAGTAGAAAAGTATAAAAATGAAGTACAAGAAATAAAGCCATGTTTTCATGTTGAGCTGTAGGGGACTCAGGTCAACAACCTCTGACATTGCCAGTCAAGTGGAAGACCCACTACTATTATGGAATACTGGACTACTGTGGAATATTTTTCTGAGTTCACACACCTATAATTATTTAAATGATGGAACTAAACAAAAAAGGGCGTACAGATGAATGACCATTTTTTATCTGTGTATTCAAAATGGTTAGGATAGATATGTAGCTACATTCTCTTAATTCAAGGAATAGAGGTATTTATTCTAATAGTGTTTGTAGGTGGGACATCATGTCTGCATCTTGTACAACAAATAACCACTAGGAAGGCAGTATGCAGTGTGTTAATCACTGGAACTGCCCTACCAATTTGATTTGAAACTGTCTCATTGCTATTTATTTCTCAATAAAATTATGGAAAAAATAAAGCCAAAAAGAAAAAAAAAAGAAAAAGAAAATAGCTCTGGGATAATAAAGGGTGCTTTAATTTCTTTGAGATCTGATGCTATTCACAAAGCTCATCTATTGGGTAATTTGTCATTAACTGCACTCTTGAGCTGGAAGCAGAGGACAATTGGTCATTAAGCAAACGTAGGCGAGCGCTGTCAGACTCCCAGATAGCCGCCTGGCAAGAGGTTGGCTTGCTTAGCATCTGCTGTTCCCGCTGCCTGCCATGGGGTCCTTCCTCAACCAGGATGCCCTCTCCCTTTCACCCTGCAGTGTGGCTGCAACACCTCTCACCTGTCGTTGCCATTTATTTCAGTTCCAGGGGCCGTTGGGTCCATTAACACAACCGTGCTGTCAGACACCAGACTCTTGGTGTCCTGGAGAGAATCTCACCAGCCAAATGGCCCTGGAGAGTCGGTCCGCTACCAGCTGGCAATCTCCGATCTGCCCCTAATCCCCGAGGCTCCAATAAGACAAAGCCAGTTCCCAAACGCAAGGCTCACTGTCCTGCTTGCGGCCCTGTCTGGTGGACAGCTGTATGTGCTAAAGGTACACAGTGCAGTGGGCACGTTTATTGCCGTTCCCGAGCTCACGTTTGTGAAAAGGTTAAGCAGCTGTTCTTTACTACAAGGTTCTGGCCTGCCATGCTGTGGAAATGTGGTGTGCTGAGAGTCGCCCCGTCGCCGCCAAAATGTTCGACCCTCCAGAGAAGCCATATGCCTTGGCTCCGGAGAGCACCACGGTACAGTTAGGGTGGAAGGCTCCAGCCAATGGCAACCTCACCAGGTTTTGGTTTGAGCTCCAAAAGGTAAAACCTTTATGCAAACCTTTTATGATACAAAGTAAATTGGAAGCTTTTCACGTATCTATTGTTTTGTATAAATCAATAATACTTTTGTCAAAGCTCATTGATTCAAGTTTAGCACGTAGAAGCATTGAGTCATGCAGACTAACTTCTGATGGAAGGAAGTCCAGAGAGATCAATGTGCTCTGAAACAGCTCCATCTAAAAGAATGTAAGTTATGGTTTCCAGATTACACAGGATTTTATTTCATATGGCTTTTCTGGTTTGACACCCATAACAATTTGATGTTTTCTGTGAGAAAGTGAAAGAAATGAATAAACAGCCCCCCTAAATACTTGTTTAGAAGTGTCCTTTCAAGTTGGCATGGTTGTGCGTGTCTGTAATCCCAGCACTTAGGAAGGCTGATGAGGAGGATCACAAGGTCAAATCCCACTTGGGCAGTGTAATGAGTCCCTGTCTCAGAAAAGAGGGGCAGCACTGGCATGCAGCTCCACGGTCAGCCCCTCAGGCTGTCCCCAGCACTGCCAAAATCAGCCTCTTCAACCAGTAGAGGGCTCTGGAGCCTTCACGGGTCATTTAGAAAATCACAGAGCTGACCGTGTAAGCCGTGCAGCCGGCTCAGGTAGGAGTGTTACGAGGAGTTCTCCGAGGTCAGGGGTGGCCTCCAGCCAGGTAGCTGCATCCCTTGTGGGGGAGCTGGGATGGCTGGGAATGACCCGGCAGTGTCCTACGGTTCTGAGGCAGAGAAACAAGGACTGTAGGTGTCTTGTAAATGTAATTTTTAAAGGAAGGATGTGGTAAACATTGTATCTGTATTTTTATTATACTTTCCTTTCTGGAAAATTGAAGAAATTAGGATATAAGGCTAAATTTTTAGTCTAGAGTTTAAACTATGTAGATTTTTCTCCAAAGAAATCATAAAAGTGGACAGAAGAACAGATTCAGTTTAAGATTAAGGAGACACAGATAGTCTAGCCTTGGTATATTTTTAATGCAAGTCCGTGAGAGTTGTGGTTTTCCCAGATGTTGGGACAAATCTCAGCTAGAACCAAGTGTTTCTGCAGTTTCATTCTAAGGCGTCTGAGCCCAGCCCTCACAACTACAGCCCAGGTGACTAGCAGCTCCTCCTTGATGGCCTTTGTTCCTGTAAGGGCTGGTTTCTGACAGCTGGGGCCCTGATCCTTGTGGTTTCTGGGAAACCCGAGCATCTCTCCAGGTCGACAGAGAGGTGCATTTGCTGCTGCCTTGAGCCCAGTGCTGGAGCGCAGGGGCTAGAAGTTCGTACACAGGAATTAACCTTTGTCTCTGTCTCTCCCTGACTCTGTCTCCCTGCCTCTGCCTCTGACTGTCTGTCTGTGTCTGTCTCTCTGTCTCCCTGTCTCCTTATCTGTCTGTCTCCCTGTCTCTTTGTCTCTCTGTCTGTCTGTCTCTCTCTTGCTCGCTCTCGCTCTCTTACACACACACTACAGAGTAAACATTCCAGATCCAACGCGCCTCTGCGTTAAGCTGTGCGTCTCAGTGTACTTGATACACTGATGAATTTGGAACGGATAACGCCGCTCCCATCACCCTTCTGTTCTTTCCTTCTTCTCTCTGCCTTCCCCTCCGCTCCTTTCCTTTATTGCAATGGTGCTGCACTTCACGAAGGTGCAGTATCGAACGTTCATAGCTTGGTAGGAATATGATGGAAAGTGTCTGATGAAGTGACGTGCCCTCGTGAGTGCTGAGTGAAGATGGATCTGATCTTCTCCCCCCAGTGGAAGTACAGCGTGTTTTTCCATGTCAAGGCCTCCTGCAGCCAGGGTCCTGCTTACGCCTGCAGCATCTCAGGCCTCCAGCCTTCCACGTTCTATAGGGTCCGAGTCGTGGTGGTTTATACAACTGGAGAAAGGAGCCTCTCGCCCCCCAACGGCTTCCAGACCGCAGGTGAACATCGTCATGCCCTTCTCATCTCTTGCTTTATCATTCTTAGGGGTTGAAGTTTCCCTTTAAAAATAGTACATTGCTATTTTTAGAGCTTCAGTGAAAACATCAGTCAGAGGATTTTACAGGCTGTAATGAGATAATCCTGACCCGATCTTGTGCGATTCTGAATGGAGAAAATGTTTTTTCTTTCAGTATTCAGATTTCCATTCTAGCTATGATATTTATCAGTAGGAGCTATATTTCAAAAGGCAATTGGGTACTCAACAAATAATTTTTAAAGGACTTATATACTCCAGATGCAAAAATGAGTAACACAACAAGTCTATTATTTAGTATTCTGAAAGTTATACCGTAGGGTAGAGGGCAAATTTCCCACAGTGTATTTCTGTTTCGTTTGCTTTTATCAGTTACTTTGTGCCAAGCTGAGATACGTGTGAATTCTGTCACCAAGCCATCTGCAGATGCCATCACCATTAGAAACTTCAGATGTTCACTTGAAAGTGATCATCAGCATATTCCTGAATTTTCAAAGTATATTTTTCTTTCTTCAGCACTCTCCGTAGAAAGGTGTCACTGCAGAATATTTCCACTTCGAGTATATCAATCAGTATTTTCTTTGTTCCCAAAGCTGGAGTCCCGAGTAAGCCAGGCACTCCCAAGCTATTGGAAGGGAGCAGAAATTCCGTACAGTGGGAGAAAGCGGACGATAATGGAAGTGGCCTCATGTACTATGTCCTCGAGACCAGGTGGGCCTGTTTGCAAAAGTTCTTCAAAGTAGTTAATTGCCAAGTGGTCAGAAGTAAGAGTACTTAGGAGCGGTGTCTGTGCGTGAACCCTGAGGGCCTGTGGCTCAGGGGCTCCGCAGTGCGCTCTCTGCCCAAGGCCCAGAGGTCAGCCTTGCCGCTCTGATTGCGAGGCGCAGCACACCATTCTTGGGAGCTCACAACAGCACACCAAGCCTGGAGAAAAAGTACTCAACCCCGGGCCCGGGCAACCAAAGTTTGTTTGTTTGTTTTTTTTTTTTTTTTCAGAAACGGGGATTGAACTCAGGCCATTGTGCTTGCCAGGCAAGTGCTTATTCTACTGAGCCATCTCCCCAGCCCCCTATGCAACCAAGGTTTGCGTGAGTCTGTCCTGCTTAAGGAGTTGAGCTGACGTGTGGTATCAGGTGATGATCTGGATGTAAATTTCTGGCTTTTGTTTTAGAAAAGCTGAATATACTCAGTGAAAACTGGCAACAAGCTTCACATTTTTTAAACTCTAATTTCGGGGAAGGACTGAAGCGGTGTGAAGCCTACGGGTCCCACAGGCTTCTCCTTTTCTTTTCACAAGATTGCAGTATGCAGTGTGCTCCCAGGACTGAACGTGAACTCTCCATGAAGACCAGCAGCTTAGGAGCAGCTTCCAGGGTGCACAGGCCACAGCGAGCCTCGGTTGGCCAGAAGGGCTGATTCCTGCCAGCCTGAGGGAAGCGTTCCAGATTCCAAGACACTCCCCTCACGGGACTATGAAGCCATCTTGTAAGAAGCTCCAAGGACAAAAGTCACTTCCATAATTATAGTCCAGCAACCTGAGCTCCAGATCTATTTTTGCTTCGTCTTGCTCTGGCATTCCTCTAACCGCAACCATTTTTCCTGCTCATGCTGGAGAATTCCCGTGGCCGTGCTTCTAACGGAAGCCTGGCGAAGTATGTTGCTGCTTGCGCACAATGAAATCCACCGTGGTCTGAGGAACTGTCTCCGGGGCCTGTGACTATAACTGCTTTCAACAGCCAGGTCACGCTCTAGTTCCCACTAGGACCCTTTTGGTGTGTCCCCTCAGTAGCACTGCTGTGGTTCAGGTCTAGACGCTCCCCCTGCCCAAAGCCTTCTGCAATCATGAGGGGCAGGCTGTTCAGAGGTGGCTAAATCTAGAGTTCACTATCGATTCATGGTCCGATGCTGGGCCACGGGAGTGAGTGTGTACCGGCCTAGGTGTGTGGCCTGCACACAGTACATGGGACAGAGAGAGGCTTGGCCTTCCCCCCGTCTTGCCACGCTTTCTGTCTTCTCCTGCCATGAACTGCCGCTCCTCTGCCTTGCAGCCAGTGGTTACGGACTGGACCTCTATGAACTATCAGCTAAACGAACTTTTCCTCATTGGACTTTAGGGTTGGGTATTTTGTTGGAGCAGTGAGAGAGAAGGAAGCAAGGCAAACACCTTCAGGGCATGGCTGCACAGGTCTCCACTGTGGAAGTGCCACTGCAGAAAGGCAAAGTAACAGTGGTGACTCAAGTGTCTCCCAGTTGGCTCTGTAGTGGGGACTGTCTGGGCTCTTGCTGCTGGTGTGATAGCAGGACGAGGTGTGAACTTTGGAGCTGGATAGGTGAACGAAGATGGTCACAACCAGGGGCCACCAACTGTGCGAATAACAGAAATTACTTCTACTGTCCTGGAAATTAGCATTCGGGCATCATGGTGTCAGCAGGCCCGCACTCTCTCTGAGGACTGTATGACAGGCTGTTGCCTTACTCCTAACTTTCGCGAGTGGCACAAGTCCCAAGTGCTCCTTGCTGGGCGGGTCACTCCAGCCTCTGCCCCTCACCCCCAGCTGGGCTTTTCCTAGAGGGAGTCTGTGTCTGAATTCCCATCTCCTCTTCTCCTAAGGGCATCAGTCCCTGAAGTAGGGCCCGGCCCCATCCAGAATGACCTCATCTTTACTTGGTCGCATCCGCCAAGACCACATTTGTAAGGTCACGTCCGTGAGTTCTAGTGGGTGTGGGCTAGGGCACACTGCTGGCGCAGCACGCAGACCATGTTTTAACCCTCCCTCACCTTCTTTTTACTTACGTTTCTGTAATCTATAACGTGCGGATGATGGGTGCAGTGCTCAAGCGAAGTCCATGTTTTCCTGTGCCTGCTTTGGTAGCCATGAAGGAATTCTTTTTTTTTTGGTACTGGAGGTTGAACTCAGGACCTTGTGTTTGCCAAGCAGGCACTTAAGAAAGAGTCTGCGAGCAGGCTCAAGGGCTGGGGTTCGATCCCCTGGCCTGAGTCACTATTGATCTGATTTTTTGTTTGTTTGTTTGGCGGAACCAGGGATTGAACTCAGGCCCTTGCTCTTGCCAAGGAAGCACTTATTCCACTGAGCCATCTCCCTGGCCATGAAGGACCACTTTAAAAATGCCCAGAGGCCTCTTGCTTTTGGGTTAGAGCTGTTCAAATCATCACATTGCCAGTGCTTGCCCCAAGGCTTCACAGCATGCACAAATGTGCTCACTGTGTCATCATGTGCTGCTCAGGATGGGCTGGGGGCAGCTGCTCCTGGGCACATGTGTGACCAGGCCTGCTTCCCTGATGGGCATGCCCACCCTGCCCTCCTCAGCTCAGTCCCCAATATCCTTTTGCTCTTTGAGGACAGCCACTCATTGCCTGGGACACAGCCAGATTGCACTGTGTTCCCCCAAGCTCCCGCTGGTGTAGTACCAAGTGCACATTTTTCAGGGCCACACGTGGTCAGTGGCATCTTAAAAGTTCTACACTGAAGTTCTCTTCATTGCCAAAGAAGACACACCTGACATCGAGCTTGGCCTCAGTCACCAATACAGCTTACGCATCCTGCTTTCTTCCCATGAGCCCAGTCTCTGCACTCTTTCCACCCTTCATGTGAAGAGCCATGTGGATTGGCTCTGCGGCAGAGTTTAACCAATACAGAAGGAAGCAATGACCCTTAAATCTCAGATGTAGTAACTCTGGAAGCTGAGCTATCACACATTCCTTGTAAATTTTATATTGTGTATTTTATCCAGATATGGTGAAAGTTATAAATAACACGAGACTGAAAATTAAGAAAAGTGGCAACTTCTTATTAAAAATTATGAAGTGATTTTCGTATGTGTTTGGAATTCTGAAGAGATTATACACAATTTTGAACAGTAGGAGAGTGATCCTCAGCTTTCTCTTGGTTGTTGATTCTTCATGACATTTTTAATGGACTGTGCTGGCCAGCTCGGAGCACAGTGTGGTCTGCAGAGTCATGGCCTGTGTTCCGCAGCCAAGTCACAAGGCAGGAATGAGGTCAAGGGTGGAGGGTGAACAGGCAGTCTCTGGTGCTGTCTTAGGCTGAGATCTTAGTCGACTAGAAATCACACTCATTTGCATCTGCATTTTCTGCATTGACTCTTTGCTGCTTCTTTTTCAGAAAGATCATTTCAGGTGACCCACAGAACCAGCAGTTAAGGTGGGAGATGGCCTTTAATGGGTCCTGCAGCAGCATTTGTATGTGGAAGTCCAAAAACCTGAAAGGAAAGTTTCAGTTCAGAGTAGTGGCTGTGAATCGTCTTGGATTTGGGGACTACAGTGGAGCCAGTGAGACTATCACCTTCCCTGGAGGTGTGTTGCAGTCTGTCCACCATGGCTTTTGTGGGGAGGCCTGGTGATACGGGGAGGCACACCCTGGACATTAGAAACAGGGAGGGGGACCGTGCAGCTTATAATCCCACCACTAAGTTACCCCATTCATCTGATGAGATCATTCTGGTGTCCTCTTAGTCCTCGGTGGCACTGAGCCTGCCACCTCAGGTCCATGCTCCTAAAGGGGCTTCCCAGGGTGCTCACGGTCTGGTCTTTATGCCCCAAGCCTTTGATCAAGTTCCTGGTCTCTCACCTTACACAGGAGGCCAGAGTCACCTTTGTGTCTTCTCTTCAGTTGTGCCCGTTTTTGGTTATGACACGTTATCTTTCTCATCAGATGGGTTGGAGATCACGGCACCACATTCGCTTTCTCTCTGTTCTGTTGGCTTTGCCCTTCCAGTGTCTCTGAAGAGTGCCATCTTCCTAGCTCTGCATTGGGTTTCCTCATTAGCGGTGTCATTTCTTGCCGGTGTCCTTGGCAGAAGCAACTGGTGACTGAATCCAGCTACGACACAACGAGCTGTACCACTTGAACCCTCTTTGAAAGACTCAAACTTATTCTTTATTTGGGGCCTTCAGCTTGGACTACAGACCTCTATGTGGCCTGCAGGGCCTTCTGTGACGCCCTCCAGTTGTACCTCACCTTTCCCTGCACTTGTCCTCGTGCTGTAGCCGAGCTAGCTGTCACCAGGCCTAGGGCTGGTGTTTCTTCTAGCCTAGTACGTGGGCCCTGCCATCTACGATGCATCCCTCATCCAGGATTTCCTTTCCTTCATTCTCTGCCACCTCAAATTCTTCTCATTCTTCCAGAACTAAGTTAAACCTATTTTGATGTGAAGAAGATACTCATTAGGAAAAGTTAATTGTTGCATTTTTACACACATTTCATGTAGAATGATGGTGGCAAACCCATAGCACACATTTTTTAAAGACAAAGATATAAAGGATGAGCTGTTTTTTTTTTTTTTTTTCCATTTGTGTATTTGGTACAGGGTCTCACTACACAGCTCAGACCTGTAGTGTTCCTCCCGTTTTCAGCCTCCCCAGTGCTGGGATTACAGGTGTGTGCCATCACACCTGGACACGGTGGCCTGCTCAGTGTACCCTGGGGGTGAGGCCAGTGCAGTATATGGGACCAGGGATCGAACCCGGGTCCCTACTCTTGCCAAAGTAGGTGCTTAGTCTGCTGAGCTATCTCACTGGCCCTGGATGAGCTGTTTTTTCTAAATTAAAACCTTAGGAGCCAGGTTCACTGTAACGGGGGCACTTTGTGAGAAGTAAGTGGGCCCAGACTCTGTTCTCTTTGTTTGTCTCCTCTTTGTGAGGGAAACAACCTAAGAAATTCTATGATTTCATGTTGGTTTCTCAGATTAGGATCCATGGAATAAGTGTATATGAAGATGTAGGAGAATAATCTCAACTATTTACTGTATGGAGACTGAGATGCTTTTGTCTCAAATTCATTAAATAATATACAGGTTTCCCTTATCACTTTCAAATAGAAGATTGTGTATTCCCACAGGCATTGGCAAAATAGCTGTTTGGAAAAAAATGGAAAAACTTTGCATTTGATTTCCCATGATGTATGTCATTTCATCATGGGTAATTTTAAAATTTCACCACTGGCTTACAAAAATACAGTAGGAGCTAGCTGTGGCTGACCGTCCTGTGAGTGCTTGTGTACAACTGAGGGAGGCTTCAGCCTCATCCTGGAATTCATATCTTTTTCTCATTTGTGTCATTAGATGATTCGTGGATCCCAGAAATGAGTCTAACGCTCCTCATCATAGTTGGAGTATTTCTGGTCATTACGATCTCACTGGCCTTTGGTAAGTATCACAGGTTTTAAAATAGATAATAATCTACCATCTCACACTCTCAGTTATATCTTAGTATCTCTAAGCTCCTGCATACAACATGACTTGACCGCAGAAGTTCATAAAGCTCGGTGTCCCCCAGCCCCTTTTTTCTAGCCACTCACGTCTGTGATTTCCTGAGTCAAGGGCCGTGTTGGTCTGGTCTCTGACGCTGTGCAGGCTACTTTGGTCCCGGTGTTGGAGGCTCTGTCAGGACCCTCCCACTGGGGGTTCAGCAAGAGCAAAGAAAAGGAGCAGCATGTCCCACCATGCCCTCCCAGACACCTCTGGCTGTTCCCACGGCACCGCATTAGCATCCAGCGAGGGACCGATCCTTTAACATGGTACTCTTGGGACGGTCTGAGTCCAAAGCAGCAAGAAGTAACAATCTCATGGAAAATGCAGCTGTACATACATTTTGTGGCATTCTTCAGATAAACTTTCCACAGCGGCTCCATATTTCAGCTTTCCTTAGGTTGTTTCTGATTGGCTATAGCAAGTGTTTTGTGGCTTATAGATTGAAATGAATAAAAGAAAAGGGACTCTGGGTACAAAATAAGTGTAGGATTAGTGGGAGGCCAGTGACCATCCCTGGTTGGGACGGCTTTGGTCTCCAGGCAGACAGCCTGCGTTGGAGTGAGCAGGGCCTCTTTGCACAAGATCCATTTCTGGCTGATAGTATTCACATTTGCTTTCAGACATCTGTCTGCTTATTTCAAATCCCTGCTGCCTTACAAATGACCAGAAATAAAGAACAATTTGTTTGCATAGGTGGAAAGTTACCCATTTTATGCTAATGTGCTGGCCCTAAAGAATAACCCCTTTTATTTTATTTTTTTCCATAATTTTATTGAGAAATAGCAATGAGACAGTTTCAAATCAAATTGGTAGGACAGTTTCAATAATTAACACATTGCATACATTCTTCCTAGTGGGTTATTTGCTGTACAAGATGCAGACATGATATCCTATTTACAAACACCATTAGAACAAATCCCTCTATTCATTAAGAGAATATAACTATCCTAACCATTTTGAATACACAGATACAAAACGGACATTCATCTGTATACCCCTTTTTTGTTTAGTTCCGTCATTTGAATATTATAGGTGTGTTAACTCAGCAAAATATTCTAAAAGAGTCCAGTAGCCCATAATAGTATTGTAACTCCCTCCTTTTAAAGGTTAAGTTTAATGATGAGAAAATACAGTGACAGCCCCAAAAGATGTTGTGAGACATTGGGTGTACAGGGTGAAGACAGTGACTGTGCTTGCCTGTTCCTGGTGTTTCCTCAGTGTTCATAGCATTGTCTTTCTGTTCCCAAATGTCAGTCTGGGTTGCATGATAGGAGATGCCCTAACTGTTGTTGACATCAGTGCTCCCAGCATGATGAGCGCTACTAGGAACCCACCCAGGCATGTGCTCAGAAGGCTGGGGCTGCTTCTGCTTATAAATGAGAAGTTACCGAGGGTGGTTGAAGGGAGAGCTGCAAACAGCGGTTGAGTTCTCCAGGACAGAAAGCCTGTGCATGGGGCTGTTCTAGGCATTCTCTCTCTGAAGCTCTTGGAGGAGGAGGTATGGGAGAGAATGCTGAACTGGAATTGAGGCTTCACTTCACAGATTTGACCAGGCAGTAAATGACACTCCTTCAGCTAGCTGGGAACGCTGAGCATTTTGGCTGGCCCTCCCAGGATTGTAACTGCGGTTCCAGCGTGTCTAAGCCTCATGCGGCTGGTGTCTGAGCTGCTCAGCCGGCCCCTCCAGGAGTATGGTATATTTGGCAGTCGGTGCAGAGGCGTGACTGCCATTTGCTCTCCTCTGGGGAAGGAACCCTTCATCTGACCTTTGCCTCCTGTTGTGTATCAGCATTGTCTAAACCCCTGGTTCTGCCAGTGAGCCAGCTAATGCAGACACCTACTGTGGCCCTCCAGATGTCCTATGGAAAGCTGACCTTCTCAGGACTTCCAGGTCTTTATTCTGTTTGATACTCATGGATTTTTGAGGGTACTGAAACTAATTCAAATTCTGCTTTTATTATCAGTGCATGTGGTTTTACATCTAGGAGTGTGTAAATGCATGAGAGAAGACTGAGTTATTAAACCAGTGAGAAGCAGCAGTTCTTTTAAAATTGATATTGTCGTGAGAACTCTCATCGATCATATTTGAAACAAGGGTTTAAAAATAAGTGTCGACGGTCTTTGTGTGGAAGAGCAGTCATCCCTAATGTGTAATGTCAGTTTTAGGGTTGGGAGCAGAGTGAAGTGAAGAGCCACACTGCTGGCTGCAGGACTTTGCCCCCTTAGTGGGGAAGTAAGGCTCGGCTGCGTGGAAGAGGACCAGCCAGACTAGCAACATGTGACATGAATGGGACCTTATGGAGGAGGGTTGCAGTGCCGCGGGGTGCTGAGGCTCACGGGGGCCTGCAGAGCGCGCAGAGGGCAGAGCCAGCACATGGCACCTGGGCCTGCAGAGCGCGCAGAGGGCAGAGCCAGCAGATGGCGCCTGGGCCTGCAGAGCCAGAGGAGGGCAGAGCCAGCACATGGCGCCTGGGCCTGCAGAGCCAGCAGAGGGCAGAGCGCGCAGAGGGCAGAGCCCGCAGATGGCGCCTGGGCCTGCAGAGCGCGCAGAGGGCAGAGCCCGCAGATGGCGCCTGGGCCTGCAGAGCGCGTAGAGGGCAGAGCCCGCAGATGGCGCCTGGGCCTGCAGAGCGCGTAGAGGGCAGAGCCCGCAGATGGCACCTGGGCCTGCAGAGCGCGTAGAGGGCAGAGCCCGCAGATGGCACCTGGGCCTGCAGAGCCAGAGGAGGGCAGAGCCAGCAGGAGGGCGCGTGGGCCTGCATACATGTGTAAATTGTGTTATTAGGTGGCACTTTACCTGGGTTTCATTAGTTTTTCCATTGTACGCATATTTTTTCAGTCCAGTTATTCTACCAATAGTGCCCTTATACATTAGCATTTAACAAACAAAAACAGTATTTTATTTTCTAACTTGTCTTTTTCCTTTGTAGTCTGGCGTAAGGGATTCACGAATCGGGAAGCTTTCAAGGGAGCACTGGCTGTTCTAGCGTGTGAAGACAAGGAGCTGGCCGAGCTGCGAGGCCCCATGGCTGGCGTGGGGCTGGCCAATGCCTGCTATGCTGTCCAGTAGGTGGCCCAGGCCCCAGTGTGGCGCATGTAGGCGAAGAGCGGGTGACGAGAGGAGTGCCCGTGTAGTCCCTTAGTCAGGCGTAGTTGTTGGTAACTCTCAGATAAGTTATGTGGTCACCTGTGAGAGAGACAGCAATACTCACTGGTTTGCAGTGCTTTGCCATGTAGTTCAAAAGTAACTGAAAAAGATAACATTGAAGAGAGTAGATGGAGTATTTCTCTTTCTTTCTTTCTTTCTTTCTTTCTTTCTTTCTTTGTTTTGTTTTGTTTTGTTTTGTTTTGTTTTGTTTTGTTTTTTGTGGCCAGCTCGACCTGCTCTGGGGGCAGGGCTGGCGGGGCATGTGGTGCTGAGGATTGAACCGTGGCCCCTACCCTTGCCTAAGCTTGCCTAAGCAGGCGCTTTAGACCACTCAGCTAGCTTGCCTGCCTAAGAGAGTAGATGGAAATGGGACTAGTTCACTGGAGATAATGTTTGTGAAGAAATTCTGAAGGTCCTTTTATGCCAATTTTATTCCATTTCAGAAATTGGATGGTGATTACCTGTAAAATTTCTTTAAGATTAATGAGTTTTAAATTTCTGTTGTCATAAAGAAGGGAAATATTTAGGTGTATTTTTACACTAGACATCATATTATGGTGTATGCAAATAAGAATTATACTATACTATATTATGTTATATTATATTATATATTGCTTCTAGAACTTTGTGACCCAAGACATGCACACAAAGGACTTGACGTAGACACAGAAGTGACCTAGATTATCTATTCAGAGATGACTTTTCTTTGGGAAAATACTCATCATCTCTGATATTCTAGATTATTAAAAGATTTAAAGTTTTTTTAAATGTAGAATTTCTTAACCTCATAATATTCAAGTGTGAAGACTAGCTTTCTAAAAATTAACCTGATTGTGATGGAGGCAACTTTTGTGGTCACAGTAAATCCTGTTCTGCATGGAGATCAGGTGTGTGAAACAAAGCAAAAGCTCATAAGCCGAGATGCACATACAGCTATTTACATAAATATACAATCTGGAGAAGTAAATAACTTCTACAGAATTAGCCACAATGGCACTCTCAACATGCACATGCACACACACACACCCACCCACCCAATATACACACACTCGTGCACACACAGATTTCAGGAAGTGAAGTGATGTGCTCAGCGTAGGAGATGGAGTGGAGAAGTGTAAGAGGAACACAACATGGCATGTCACCATGTCATCTGGAATGGACAGTGCTGCAAGGGCCTGAGATTGCTCTTTCTCAAAGGCAACATAGACTTTGGGAGAGCAAACACATTGTTATTTTACAGTACTCTTCCAACCCAAGAGGAAATTCAAAATCTTCCTGCTTTCCCTCGGGAGAAACTGAGTCTGCGTGTCTTGCTGGGTAGTGGAGCCTTTGGAGAGGTGTATGAAGGGACAGCCATAGACATCTTGGGAGCTGGAAGTGGAGAAATCAAAGTAGCAGTGAAGGTAACAATCTCTATACTCCTTGGCCACCACCTCTGCGTGGGTGCCTGGGTGCACCTGTAATAAAAGCTGAGCTCTCTTACTTTGAAAGACTGAGCAGTGGTGTGAATCCGGTAACAGCAGTGCACTGCCCAGCTCAGTAGAGCTGAAAGAGAGGGTTTGGAGTGCACTGAAAATAAAGAAATAATGTTTAAAGTGAGGATATGCAAATCTCTTATCATCACCCAATGCATATGTGAATCAAAATATCAGTTGTACATTATAAATACATATGAAGAGTAGGCCAATTAAAAATAAACTTAATTTTAAAGTTTTATTCATAGAATATAGATGTTTGTCCATAAGTCAAAAATTTCCCATTTTCTACATTGGTTCTCTAATGAACAGAGGAAATCACCAGGGTTTATGTTACCTTTAAGGTCATTAATTAGTTAAGACCTAGCTAAGAGTTTTTACCCATCCAATGTAGTGTAAGAGAACCAGAGTTGTAAAATGCATCCTCAAGAAACAAGACGGAGGCCCAACAAATGTTTTCTCAAGAGGGAAGACAGTGAATGTTTAACTTGCTGACTGTGTCATCGCTGTCACAACTGCTCTGCTCTGCCCCTGCAACTCCAAAGCAGGCACTGTCAGTACGTAAACAGACAAGTGTGAGTTTATGCCAATAAAGCCTCATGGACATTGAAATGTGAGTTCATAACAAGTTTGTGTTGCGGTGTTTCATGTGCCATTAAAGAGTAGTCTTTTGATTTTAGTTTGAGACCATGAGTTCTCTAGAAATGTGAGGCACACTTGGTGTGGCTTGCTCATCTCTGTATCGTGTGGCTGGTGGTCGTAGCCAGTTTAATTATTTCTAAGGAAGCATTGGCTGTGCTCTTGTATTCCTGTAACATGTTCTTTTGATAATGGGGTAATAAGTCTTTTGTGTAATTGAGCAATATCCTGATCACTTCTTGTTAGGGACTTGCTGCTTTGATGGTAGGCTATACAATGAGATTTGGAAGCATTCTGTCTACTTCCTAATATGTTTTAAAAGAGTTACTCCAGCTCCAAGTGATTTAAGCAAAGGCTTTTCCCATGGAGTAGTATGTCTACTGACCTTGGTGCAATAGCACATGAGCTCAGAGGTGGCGTCTTGGAAATTCCCTCACCTTTCCTTGATGCTTGCTGCCTCGCAGTTCACAGGAGGCGGGCAGAGAGCAAAGCTTCACACCTCCCTCCAGCCACAGCTTCTCTCTGTCTCAGCAGTTTTCCTCTTATATCTCATGGACTAGAATCAAGTCAGACGACCACTTGTATGAGTAAGGGAGGCTGGAGAATTTCAGAAAAAAATTCATAATTAACTTAGACCAGCTACCAACATTGGAGCAGCAGGCCTCCAGGAGATAAGCTAGGGTGCTGTTAACAAGAGCACCAAGGAAAAAGACGCTGAACAGAAAGACTTGAAGAATGAACTTCTGATCTATTAGATGCCAAAATTCGTTTTTCCTTAAAATTTGTGTATTTTGGAGATATATAAATATCAAGACCTCTGCTAGGTCTTTTATCTAACAGAATTTGCTATATGAATACTGGCAATAACAGAAGATTAGTAGAGCACATATACATGTATCTATTTTCACTTTTCAGCATGAATGCTGGGGGGCTCCACTAATTCTGAGCTCCAAGAGTTATTTGCTATTTTGATTCCTCTTGATATCTGATCCTTCATATGTGTTTGTGTGTACTTGGGAATAAACTCAGGGGCCTTACACTGAGCTATGTCCCCCACACTATTTTTATTTTGTATTTTGAGATAGGGTCTTGCTAAATTGCCCAGTCTGGGCTTGAACTTAAGGTTCTCTTTCCTCAGATGCCCAGAGTTCTGAGATTACAGGTGTGCACCCCTGTACCAGCTTCCTGACTTGTTTTTATGTTGCAGACTTTGAAGAAGGGCTCCACAGACCAGGAGAAGATTGAATTCCTCAAAGAGGCACATCTGATGAGGTACCAGAGAAGCTGTGGGACACTTCTGCTTTTCTGGGCAGAAAGGTTTTACATGTGTGTGTTGAGTTGTTAACATCAACAAGGACCTGGGCCGGCCAGATAACTCAGCAGACTAGAACACATGCTTAGGCAGATGCAGGGACTGGGGTTCAATCCCCATGGCAGTGCTGGCCCTGCCCCTGCGCGTGCTGAGACTGGGTGTGGTGGCATACACCTGTAATGCCAGTGCCTGGGAGGCTGAAAACAGGAGGGTCACTAGGAGTCTGATCTGTGTAGTGAGATCCTGTAGACCCTGTACTAAGTACATAAAAATAAAAGAATGACCAGGCGTAATAGGTCTTGCTCATCAAATAGGACTTAAGGACTTAAAAGGAAATAGTTTTCTGGTAGCAAACACTCCACAGAAGCCAGTCTTTGGATTCTGGCAAGGCTTCCTCAGGCGAAAGGTCAACTTTCTTTTCCCTGCAGAAGGACAGTGTTTGCAAGTGAATTCAAAAGCATTCTTCTGAAATCATGATACACTGGCCGAGTAGACCTAGCTCAGTTAAGCGGCCCACCTGTGATCCTTCTGCTGTCCAGTAACCTTGCCCTTGAGGTGTCAGTGAGTTTGTGGTCATGAGAAGTGATCACTAAAGAGCAGACCCCGGGCCTGGGCTCCAGCCACGGGGCTGGAACTTATACATTTTGAGGTTTTATGAAAGCAGCATGCCCAGAACCTGCTGGTCTGAGTTATTTCTCTATAAGGGAGAACATATTTCACACTTGTGATAAAAAACATAATGTTTCAAATACTCACTGAAGACAGATACTGGTCAAAATTGCTTTCTTTCCAAAATACAAGCTAGTCAATATAGAAGTTACTTCTCAAATCTGCCCTCCTCTGTCACATGCATTGGCCACTAGGGGCTGCCATGTTCCCTTCCTGAGGAGCGCTGGAGCAGGCTCAGAAAGGGCAGCTTCCCTTCCACAGGCAGCAGGGCTTCAGAAAGAAGCTGCAGGCATGAGACTGCTGCATTCGGAGAGCACCTAGTGGGGCTCCTGCTGCTGCCATGAGCTCACCCGGTGCATCCTCTCCCCTTCCAGCAAGTTTGATCACCCCAACATTCTGAAGCAGCTCGGCGTCTGTCTGTTGAATGAACCCCAGTACCTTATTCTGGAGTTGATGGAAGGAGGGGACCTTCTCACTTACCTGCGGAAAGCCCGGATGACAACGGTAGGCTCAGGATTGGTTTCCTAATGCAGAACGCCCTGTAGATTCCTCCTAATATTGTCGTTACATTCAATAAGTTGTGGAGGAAACTTAGAAATGTTCTGTGGAAAAAAACTTCCTATTTCTTGTATGTAGATTAGGGAGATTGGAACTTGGGTGAATATTTGAGTCTGCATTTAGTATTTAATGGGAAAATCGTTCTTCACATTTACAATCTTGTGTTTTTCTTTTTCTGGAGAAAAGACACTCTGCTGGGTGGCAGTGGGAAGCACAGCATTGTGTTCCATCCATTTGCTGCCCCGTCCTAAACTGCATTCCATGCTAGAATCCTTGCTACGCCCTGGACTTGGGGTCAGCTCCACTGACCCCGTCTACTTAGGCAGACTACCTGTGGATTTTAGTAGCATCTGAAGCTTATATTGGCTGAAACAAAACTCTTGAGTTTGTGTTTGGGATCCAGAAAACTTGGAGTAGCACTGTGTTTTCAGAGTTCAGATTGTTCATCTACAGGCTGGGACGCTAAATTTAAAAGTATCTTAAAACTTTTTAGATTCAGTATTCTAAGATTGTATGAAGATAGAAAAAAGAAAAACAAAAGTCATCTCAAATGATACAAACAAAATATATAGTAGTAAATGTGTTGTCTTTCAGATACAATTCAGTTTGTCAAATTTGTGTGTGGTGTTTATTGTAGGACAGAGGAGGTATGGCTCTTGCCACATGGTGAGATTGGAAGGCACATATAAATAGTCCATTTGTGATGGAAAGTGGAAGGATCTATGAGAGTGGGGTAGCAAATGCGTGGATGGAGGAGAGCTGATTCCAAAGGAGAGCATGGAAGGAGTTGTGGAGGAGCAGATGTAAGAGCTGCTGAACAAAACTTCCTAGTGAGTCTTAAGGCTGAGGCTGGGGAAGATCCCAGTCAAGGATCCTGGGTCTGGAGGCCTGGCCAGAGCGAGCTGGCAGGCAGGGGCAGTGCCTGAGCCAACGGGCCCAGCCAGCAGCTGGAGTCCCAACAGTCTGCCACAGGGGACACAATGAGCAGGAAATGGTCAGGGAGCCACGTAGTCAGCATGGTAGATGTCCTGCCGGCAAGGCCACGGACAAGCCATGGGCTGAAGTTCAGCGTCAGTATTGAGGGACGTCAGAAGGACTTTCTGAGAAGGTCAAAGCAAGATTCTGTTCACATATGAATCAGTGAAAGAGTCAGGGCATGCGCCAGAGACAGGAGTGCAGGCCACCTGAGGCAGACAGGTGGAGAGGGCATCAACGAACACCTGGCTGTCAGCCGTGTGCAGCTGCATGTGGAGATGCCGAGACCATGATGTCGGCGTCTTCTCCAGCTTCACAGGGAGATGTGAGCTTGTCAGAAGAGGCTGGGGAGGAGGCGTAAGACAGCCCCATGAGAGGAGGGGGGCTCTGGGCCTTGAGAGTCACCCAAGCTCAGGGGAGGTTGTGGATGAACAGCAAGGATAGAGGAACCATTCCAGAAAGCAAATGTGAACAGGAAAAAGGAGAAGTGGGGAGAAGTGCAGCTCAGGAAAGGAATGATGCACAGTTCAGTGACTGGGACTCAGGTGGTGAGGGGCAGAGAGGCTGCGGCCAGAGGCCGGTGTGCTGTGTGCACAGCAGTGCGGAGCGGCTAGATGCCCACGGGGCAGGCCTGGGCTGGGGTGGAGGGGAGCTGAGCAGGGAAACTCGGCAAGGGAGGGGCACAGATAATGCCTGGTGCCGCCTCTCTGCAAGCACTTTAGGGTTTTCCCACCTGGGAATCCAGTCCAGGCTCAAGTGCAAAGTCATACTTGGTCTTTGGATAAGAGGCATAATCTAACCTTGAAATAAGATGTAGTTAACAACTTATGGGGGGCTCCTGGGGACTGATTCCATGGTCCAGAATAACAGAATGCAAAGGCGTTGGGCCAATAACTGAAGTAGCCAGCACCATGGAGCAGTTACTGTTACCAGGAGTGACTGACTGGGTTACACTGTGCGTTGACATCAAGGGTGTCGCTGGACCCTTGCGAGGCAGGGTCATGCTGCGCAGTTGACCTCTGAGGACATGCTTAGTTAATTAAGCAACGTAAGTTCATACAACTAGTTAATACGCAGAACTAGGTTTCAGATTTTGGTCTGTCTGACCTCACGCCTTAAGACCTTTCCAGTAAAGACTCTACATCACTTCTACTTAATATAAAAGTCACCATCATGTATACTTGCACAGAAAACATACCCGTTATTTTTCTCTTGTCTGAATTGTTTCGATAATGACTAAAAGTTCCTTCAGAAGAGGGATGGCACGCCTTTTAGAAACACAGCGCCCAGACTGCGCATGCCTCCTCTCCTGGCTCCGCTACTCCTCCCGGGGCGTGCGTGGCCCTGCGTGAGCTCGGCTGCTGGGCTGCGGGCCCAGCTGGGCGTGTTTGCTCTAGTGTGCGTGCCATAGGCTGCCGCCACTGCTTCAGCAGATCAGTCGTCGCTGCGAGCATGCGTGTGCGTGCGAGTATGTGCAGAGTGCAAGTAATAAAAGTGCTGCCCTTCGCCTTCGCCTGCCCCAGCTCCGCGGCCCTTTGCTCAGCCTGGCTCACCTGGTGGACCTCTGTGTGGATGTTTCAAAAGGCTGTGTCTACTTGGAGCAGATGCGTTTCATCCACAGGTACGGTCACATTCCGGGTACAAAATGACGACGGCGATTGGCATAGCACTCGCCTGTAGTTGGGGGGAAGCACACAGGATAACCAGACATTCTCATTCCTTCAAAACAGCACAGTTTTGTAGGAGTCTGTCCTCCTTACAGACCCACGAACATTCCTGTCTGCCCTCTGGAGTTATTACATATACCTTCTGCCCTAGGGATCTGGCAGCCCGCAATTGCCTGGTCTCTGTGAAAGACTACACTAGCGCTTCACGGATAGTGAAGATTGGGGACTTTGGCCTCGCAAGGGACATCTACAAAAATGATTACTACAGGAAGCGAGGGGAAGGCTTGCTACCTGTTCGCTGGATGGCTCCGGAGAGTCTGATGGATGGGATCTTCACGACTCAGTCTGATGTTTGGTGAGCCGAGCTACACAGGACACAGAAGTGGCAGAGCTGGCAGACCTCAGGGCCAAAAGGGATCTTGAAAGGATGCCTAGTCTTGTTTATTTGTTTTTAATAGGAGAAAACAGAAGACCAAAGAGGTTAAGTGGCTTACCTCAGCTGGTGGTCAAGGTGCTGCTGTTCCTGGGTCTCAGGCATTAAAATCCCTCCTGAATCAGCTTTTTCCTTTCATTGCACATCTAAATACGAAAGGGACACATCCGCCACAAGGGTCTTATTATGCTTCAAAGCTGTGCAGGTGTATAGCTAACAGAACATGGTGCTTATGGCCTCATGTGCCAGCGTGTGAGTGAACGCCCTTAAGTTTGGGTGTTTTCTTTTTTAACTTGAAGGTGCACTTTAAACTGATTGCAAAGTTTCGCTGTATCTCTATTATTTGAATAAGATTTTTTATTTTTGCTGTGGGCCTCCCACTTTTAGTCAGAGTTGGGTAAAATGTAAGGATTTGCTCCGTGACTTTTAAGCTGGTCCAGTCATGGAAAATTGTGGGTGAGATGAAGTTGGTCCTGCCTGATGCTGGTGTTTCGCCCATGAAGTTTCTCCCCTGCTCCCTGTCCTCCTGTCCCCTTCACGTGGGGCACTGGGGACCTGCTCCCTTGCTCACGCTCCAGGCACTTGTAGATTTGTGCTGTGAAAGCCTGAGATAGTGGGGGTGTGGGGGGCAGTCGGCAGAGGACTGGAGTGTGCAGGTGCTTTGCACACATGTGTGTACATGTGTGAGTGCATGTGCCAGTGTGTGCACATGTGTCCAGGTCTGTGTGTACATGTGAGCTCCCTCAAAGCCTGTTCATCATCTTTGAACAATGCTCATGTGCGATATATTTTCTACTTTTTAACAGATCAGCCTGAGTTCATGCCTCCTGTTGGCCTTGTAGAAGGCCGGGACACCAGCTGCGAGATAGACTCCAGAGCGCCAGCACAAGGGTGCTGTAACGAGCATAATTACACACCACCTTTTGTTACCCTAGGTCTTTTGGAATTCTGATTTGGGAGATTTTAACTCTTGGTCATCAACCATATCCAGCACATTCGAACCTTGATGTCTTAAACTATGTGCAAGCAGGCGGGAGACTGGAGCCACCAAGAAACTGCCCCCAAGGCCTGTAAGTTGCTGTGTTAGCACGTGCACCCTAAAGCAAAAAGCATGTGTGCGCAAGAACTTGGCTTCATGAGTGAGACATGCTAAAATGAACCAAAATTTACCTATTTGTATTGCGCATAAAATATAAAATACTGTGGCACTTAATGTGCTAAGTGTATCATGATTTTTTTAGTATATATATATATATATTTAGTATATAAAATATTATATATATATAATATTTCATTCAGGCACCACATTTTTTTAAGAGTAGAATATATTTATTGGGGGAAGGAATGCTCCTATCCGAGAGAGAGGCAGAAGGGACCGCCCAAGTGGGTTGTCCCTGGGAAGCTGTCTCTTCCAGAGACTTTTAGAGAGGAAAACCAAACAGTGAGGCAGGACTAAGGCGGTAGAGAACATGGGAACTCACTTAAGTGGACATGAGGTGGTACAAAACTATGGTCAGCCAATGAGATTACAAGCACCATTGCTCAGGTAAAATTGATTAAATCTAGTACCAAATGGGGAAGTGAATCACGTAGCAAGCGGGCATGAATATGGGGCAGGGTCTCTTCCTGTTGGGGGTTGGGTTAGTGACTCATTTGGGCTCTTTCAAGGTGAATGATACCTATTTAGAATATCAATCACTGATGCCCATCCCTAGGGAAGTATGTAGCTATATTTGTTTTCTATCTTGAGGTCTGGCCCATAGGGTTGTATCTGTCTCTTCCAAGTTGCAAAGTCACCTTATCTTCCATATTGTCTCCTTGAAGGCCTAGCCCTGTCTGACTGTCTATAATATTTCTATGTAATGCAGCTGCCTACAACATTCCTTCCCACCCCAAGAAGTAAGCTGAACTGCTGTGAGGGAACCATGGGCAATGACTCCTCTGGCTTCTTCAGGCTGAAAGGGGTCATAGTTGTTGACTGGCAGTCAGAGATACTCTCCAGAGGTTCTACCTAAAGACCCTCAATAGACACCAGGCATTTTCATCTTGGGTAGGGGTATAGCTTTGAATCTGGAGGAGACAAAGCCAAAGAATTAAACATGCATTGGTCAAATAATCACATCAACAGGATAATTATGAATATAGTCAAAGATTTGTATGAAGTAGATAGTAATAATTTTCCATAAACATTTTAAAAATGGTGTCCTGGGGACCCTCAGCATCTTACATATCATTTATTTGATATCTAATATTTTGACCAGCTATTGAGACATTAGAAGGATCTGGAATATCATAACATTTTAAAGTTTATAATTATAAAAAGACTAGTTAGAACTCTTTGTCCATTAGCAGAGATCTCTTACATGTGGGGCTTAATCCCTTTTGTATCTTCCATGGCCATTGGGTATTGTCTCAAATGAACTGGCCAACTCTTACTATTAGTGGGGTACATGAATTACAGGACCTGGGAGAACACTCTCCAGCTGGCAAGTGGGGCCACTGGCTGGGTAACTACTGACACACCTGCATGGCATCTAGTTTAGCAAGCTTTCTCCTTGTATTGGCAGTTAGCATGGGGTCCCTGAGGCTGAGAGGGGAAGACCCATGACCACCTCAATCTGAAACTTCTTCTGACTCCATCATGAACACTTTCTTTTTTTCCTTCTCTAGCAGCTTTGGACATTTTTGCTTGAAATCTCCCTTCTCTCTGTCTGGATCCGGGGAAACCTCAACCTTTTCCCTGTTTCCTGACTGACCTTCATTCCTTAGGCTTCTAGTATCACTATTCCCATTTTCTGTCTATAATTCCATTCTGTGTGAAATGGAATTTCTACTATGAAACACCTCGACTGAGACCAATTCATTCCTGCAAACCCTTTTTACTTCTGCAGGTCACGTATCTGAGGCCCACTAAGGAAGATATGATTTTTTGGTTTTAAGGCCTCCTGCAGGCAGCCCTATCCAGGGAATGTGAGGGCAACTTCCCTGTAGTAGATTTCTTTCCCCCCCCTTTTTTTTTTTTTTTTTCAAACCAAACTGGTAGGACAGTTTCAATAATTAACACATTGCATACATTCTTCCTAGTGGTTAATTGCTGTACAAGATGCAGACATGATATCCTACTTACAAAAAACATTAGAACAAATCCCTCTATTCATTAAGAGAATGTAACTGTATATCAATCCTAGCCATTTGAATACACAGATACAAAATGGACATTCATCCGTATCCTCTTTTTTAAGTTCCGTTATTTGAATATTATAGGTATGTAAACTCAGCAAAATATTCTAAAAGAGTCCAGTAGCCCATAATAGTTTTGGGTCTTCCGCTTGACTGGCAATGTCAGAAATTGTTGACCTGAGTCCCCTACAGCTCAACA